GTTGGAATTATGAGGGCTATTTTTTTACCTCGCTTTTATTAGCTTGGGATGTAACTCAAAGAGTGTTTGCATTATTCAATTTTGCGTTCAATTCAACGCAGGGTTGCACGAGAAAAAAGTTGAATTGCTAAATGTTGGCTAGCGGCCAACTTTATTGAAAGCGATTGGCTGAAAAGCCGTTCAACCAAAAGTTGAATGCAAAGTTGAACAATGCAAACGCACTTTTATTGCGAATGTTTTAATTTTTTCATATTTTGATATTTGAAGCCATTCAACTTTTTTTTCGTGCAGCACTGCTTAAGTAATAATGGTGCGCCCAAAAGATGCAGCAATTTCCATTATGAAGTACGAATGGGAACTGCTTTAAATTTCCATTTCTAAGTTACCTGATTACATCACGAATGAAAATTCCAACGATTGATTTCGCGTGTCATTCTATTCGTTGTAATAGTTTTAAAACCAATTGAATTTAAGACTAAAAAGATGAAAATAAAATTATAGTTTAAAAAACTAAAAAACTCGCTTTTATTACAATGTGAACTAAAAGGTAAAAAATAATTTATAGAAATACAGATTTCGTTTAAGAGGAATAGGAAGTTTCCTAACTTGATTTAATTAAACTTTTAAAACCAACCTAAAATAGGATTAAAGAAATTGACAACAGCTGTATTTTTTGTAAGCGAGCGATAAAAGAACGCTCAACTCGGGTAAAATTTCCTTTTAGCTACTTAAGCAACCCTGCTGGTGGCTGGTAGGAAACATGTGATGAGTTTAACGGGATTTAGATACAAAAACCAATTTAAATGAAAAATTATGCGTGGTATTTGCTTAATATATATACTTATTTATAATATAACTCACGTATTTATAGAAACAAAAATTTCCCCATCCACTTTCCCATTAACAATTCACAATAGAGCNACTCACGTATTTATGGAAACAAAAATTTCCCCATCCACTTTCCCATTAACAATTCACAATAGAGCAGTTTTTTCATTTACCAACACTACCCTTCAGGTCGCGTATTTTTTAACCGACCTGGCTGAGCTCGGATAAATAACCGAGTTTGTGTTGTTGCTTTGCGTGTATTTCGTCATTTCAGCGAGTGTTCTTTTGTAGCTCGGTTGCAAAAATAATGCACCTAATAAAATTAATTTTACCGGAAAACAAAGCGTGGGGTGCTTCTTAGACTTTATAGTCCTCCTATTGCCAATATTCAATATTACTAAAACGAAACTGAAGAGTTCAAAACAATTGATATCAAGCACTGCGCATGAAAAAATGACATCGACTTCGACGTGGACAACCATAAAGAGCCGATTACACTGTGATCGTTTTTTTCAAACATTTTCAAAGACATGGCCGGAGAAGACGGTTTCACCCTATTTCGGGTATGGGGAATTTATCTGGTTGGCTTTATCGGCATGATTTCTTTGACAAAGTTGTTAAGAACGTCCCAGGCCTTAACTTTTGTGAACGTACTAAACTCCAGAAAGTAGGTCTTAGACACTCTTAAGTGGAAAATCCGAAAGTAGTTTTATACTAATTACACAGGAGAACATAAAAACAAACAATCTTTCTTTTAAAAGACTGTCCAGATCAATTGCCATTTCAAAATTGGAAACTTAGATTCTGTTTTAATAAAGGTAGGAAACATGTGATTGATTTCTTCATTTTTCTTTTCGCCATATTTGACCCGCCATGTTTTATCAAAACGCCTTGATTTTATAATTTTTGTATTCGCCATATTGGATACGCCATTTTGAATTTTTAAAGTCTGACTTCAGATTCGTAATTAGTGACCTCAAAAACATTTGACAGTGGTGTCAAATTGTGTCAAAGCGTCTTTGAGCAACTAGTTTTGCCCACCTAGATTTATGTAGATTTCAGCCCACTGTGGAACGCTTTAAATCGAATATAACCATAATGTAGCCATTTTCGGTTTCAGCGGCCCAAAAACATGGAAATAAGCATACATTTTAATTTTGTATGAAAATTCAAAATATGAACCCATTCAGGGTGTAGTAAGGAAGTTATAGGAAGTGAGAGAGGAGTTTAATTAATTTTTATACTCGAGCGCACTTGTGCACAAGGGTATTTTAATTTTCTTCACATAACGGTTGTTTGTAACAGCCAATATGAATCGCGATAGATATAGACAAATTTATACATAAATGATCAGAATGAAAAGAGAAGTCGATTAAGCCATGTCTGTCTGTCCGTCCGTCCGTCCGTCCGTTTACACAATAACTCAAGCAAAAATTGAGATACCTCAACAAAATTGTATGTAGGTTGCCCTTTATATAAGGTAGATTAGTGTTGAAAATGGGCGAAATCGGACTGTAACCACGCCCACCTCCCATATAACGGTAATTTACAGAAACACGAAAATTGCGATAAATCAGTAGTTATTGAAGCTAATTCACTCAACCTCGACGGTTGCAATAATCACTTGGCAAAAAATTTGATTACTACACATTTTTGAACAATGGGCGTGGCTCCACCCACTTATGACCACAAATATGTATCTCGGTAACCGATTCATAAAATTCAACTAAAATTGGTGCAACTGAGGACACTAATTTACTTCAAGTTAATACTTACAACGGTCTCTTAACAATAAACAAGAGGTTCGATCCCTGCTGAAGTCTAGGAAAAAAAGAAGTCTGATGAGAAGATGTGGTGATCTCCGAAATAGTGCTATAACTTCTACCGCTTAGACTTTGTTGCTTTTTCAATTTTTCCTAATAAACAATCGTGGTACAAAGCTCAATAAAAATATTAAAAATAAACAAGACTGTTATAAACTTTTAGGAATTTGGCGTGGCACCGCCCACTTTATGACTACAAAGTTCGATCTCGGTAACCGCTTTATCGATTTCTACCAAACTTGATTCAATGATTTCATTCGGTCAGTATATTATTGAAAACGTTTGAAATCGGGGGAAAACACCCCCGCTTATCATGCAAAGGTAGTTGAGAGAAAGTTGAAACGGCGATATTTGATAACTGCGCCGGGTATATAAAATTCGGTTTCTCCCGACCTTATACTTCTTTACTTGTTTGTAGTCATTTTCGATTGAAATTTCAATCCCTAGGTGTGGTTGTGAGAGGGTGGTAGCGTGAAAATGGTCGGTTGAAGTTATTTTTTGGTCATTAATATTCGTTTTCAGCGACCCCAAAAACCTAGAAATAGCGGGGTCTACCATCTGGTTAACAATATTTTTTGTTTTTATGTTGCTGTGTAATTAATATACAACTGCTTTTGGATTTTCCACCTAAAAGTGCCAAAGACCTCCTTCCTGGAGTTTGATATGTTCACGAAAGTTAAGGCCTGAAACATTCTGAACCACTTTGCCAAAGATATTTTGCCGAAAAAACCCACCAGATAAAAGTTAGAAACCATAAAATAGGATATAGCACCTGAAAAATTTCCATTGGAGGCAAAACTTTCAAAATAAAAAGTTGTATGAAGGCGTGCAGAAAACTTAAAAAACGAATGATGCAGTTCGATTCCCCTTACACGAAATAGGTTGAAACCCTGTTCTCCGGCCATGTCTTTTTTTGCGGCTATAGCAGTGTTATAAGTCCTGACAAAGTGTTATTGGACGATCACTACCAGACTTATCATGAGTTTCATTTTCCCCGAACCGGTTCACTTTTCACTCTTGGTTTCCATGGTTTTACTATGCGCGGATGACAAATTTTCAGGTGATTTTTTTTTTCAGGCGAAACTCATTGACCCAGCAATTCAATCTGGCAAGATNTCCCGAACCGGTTCACTTTTCACTCTTGGTTTTACTATGCGCGGATGACAAATTTTCAGGTGATTTTTTTTTCAGGCGAAACTCATTGACCCAGCAATTCAATCTGGCAAGATNGTTTCAACGGTCCAAGAAAATTGAAATTTCAATCCCTAGGTGTGGTTGTGAGAGGGTGGTAGCGTGAAAATGGTCGGTTGAAGTTATTTTTTGGTCATTAATATTCGTTTTCAGCGACCCCAAAAACCTAGAAATAGCGGGGTCTACCATCTGGTTAACAATATTTTTTGTTTTTATGTTGCTGTGTAATTAATATACAACTGCTTTTGGATTTTCCACCTAAAAGTGCCAAAGACCTCCTTCCTGGAGTTTGATATGTTCACGAAAGTTAAGGCCTGAAACATTCTGAACCACTTTGCCAAAGATATTTTGCCGAAAAAACCCACCAGATAAAAGTTAGAAACCATAAAATAGGATATAGCACCTGAAAAATTTCCATTGGAGGCAAAACTTTCAAAATAAAAAGTTGTATGAAGGCGTGCAGAAAACTTAAAAAACGAATGATGCAGTTCGATTCCCCTTACACGAAATAGGTTGAAACCCTGTTCTCCGGCCATGTCTTTTTTTGCGGCTATAGCAGTGTTATAAGTCCTGACAAAGTGTTATTGGACGATCACTACCAGACTTATCATGAGTTTCATTTTTCCCGAACCGGTTCACTTTTCACTCTTGGTTTTACTATGCGCGGATGACAAATTTTCAGGTGATTTTTTTTTCAGGCGAAACTCATTGACCCAGCAATTCAATCTGGCAAGATATAAAATATTCCTTCTTTCTGAAAATGTTCTTGAATTTGATCTAAATAGCAAGCACAATTTTTGAAATGATTTGGATTGACTAGTTAAATATATTTTGCCTAGTTTTAATAAATATTTATGTAGATGTTTGTACAAAGAGGTGTGCGTATTTATACATGCATTGGTAGATGAACCAAATCAGATAAGAACAGATTCATTTTTTAAGTGTGTTGCTCGGCACATAAATAGTGCACTTACAAATGTATCCGTTATCAGTTTTGTTATTCGAACCCCTGGGTCAGATTTAGCGTAAACAACTTAAAAAGATTTCAGTGAAGGCATTGTAACAGTAGCAGTCGTTGATCTGAGTTTTCAATATGTAGATGTTTATGTATGTATTTGGTTTAGTAAGTTATATTATTTATTTTGGTTTATTTCAAAGATTCCACCAAACAAAGCGGTTCTCGATTAGTCGGTGATGTTCTTTTCGACGAGGCGAAACAAGTGGCTTCTTACATAACACCAGTGCCTGGCGGTGTTGGACCTATGACTGTAGCAATGCTTATGAAAAACACTGTTAGGTCTGCTTTAGTGGCTGCAGATAAGTTATTGCAAACAACCTGGAACATAGCTCCGCTTACTTTGGCTAAAGTTAGACCCGTTCCTTCGTAAGTGAAGTGTTTTCTTTTAAAAGTCTATTGGTAGAGAATACATACAATGATAAATGATATTTTCAGTGATATTATTATAGCTCGTTCGCAGAAACCCAAACATATCTCCAATTTGGCAAAAGAGATTGGACTGTTAGGCAAAGAAGTATCGCTTTATGGCGATAAAAAAGCGAAAATATCTCTAAGTACCATCGATCGGTTGGAAAGCCGATCCGACGGCTCCTACGTAGTTGTAGCTGGGTAAGGAACAAAAATAATCTCGAGTTTTTCGATAAATAACATATAGTACCTATAAGTATGAACCTAGTTGAGAAAATAAGAAAACATAGGTCTTTTTGTATGGATTGGCCACAGTTGCAAGGCCTTTTAATTGAGCTTCCCTTAGAACAGAGAAAGTTACAACAAATAACAATAAAGGCCGCGCCAGATACAACTTGGTGGTTTGCGTGACATGTATACATACCCAGTGGGAAAATGTAATGTATTTTAATCGAAAAAATAATCAGTAAAACAGCCTTTTTCACATTCGAAAATGCATTATTTTTCCCACAGCGATGCCCTAAGAAAAGTGGGGCATTCAATTTTCCATTACCAGTAATGCAAGAATGAATGTGATTCAATATGAAATTTTAGCGACTTGTTGGATACATTCTCATGCTGATTACATAATAAAGAGTAATAGAATCTAGAACTCATATGAAATACACTACTTTATTTATCACGCATGTAATGCATTACTACTTTTCCCACTGGGTAACTTTTCAGGGAAAGCGCAAGAAGCAAAAATGAACGTCCAGGAAACAAGTATGCTCTTTGTTTAAGACTGCAGCTCTCATGAAAAACGAGAAATTCATATAAAACTACGCACAAGAAATAGAGAAGAAATTTTCTTCTTTCAAAATTTCTTAAATCAGTATGCAGCTCTCACAAAAAATGATCGTATATTTATTTCTCCTTGCTGCTACAGCCATGATTCAATAATACAAGGTTATGTTAATTATGACAGCTCAAATTTGATACGCCTTTATCAAGATTTGTATTTTGGAAGTAGGGAGAAGAAGGTAGTAGAAAAAATTGATTTTTTTTTTTTATATACATACGTTCCCCCTAGTTTGATCTCAAATCTTTTCAGCAGGAGTCTACGTATAGATTTTACAACAAACACGACACGGTTTTTGATCGTTCTTACTGCATGTCATAAATTAACATTTTGAGTACACTTTTTAGGAAAATTTTTAATATACTTAACCGCACCTTGTTTATTATCTTTTATAATTTTCTTCATATGAATTATATCACATTTTTTGCTTAATTGTATTTTTGGAATAAACATAGTTATTTTTCCTTCTGTCAGTAAACTGTTTTTGTTACAAACCGTATAAATAAGCGATGAGAAATAAGGCAAAATTTGTGTTATCTCCAACCTTTGTTGGAAATAAAGCAAAACTCAGATTTAAAATTGTGTTATTTCACCAAACAATGAATGACATTTCAATTAATTTTTTTCCAGCACCTTAAGAAAAAGTTTCTTATGAGCAGTATATTTTGGCTTTGATTTTTTGTTATTATATTAGAGGAGCTTACGTGGTATTACGATAAATGATGGTTTAATGATTTTGTACATTTGTAACATGTGGTACATGTTACTAATGAATATTAATTGTCAAAGTATATATTTTAAGAGGATGATTTTATATTGAGATGCTTGCTTTGATCTGCATTTAATAAGTCTTCAAATCGTCGCCTTTTCCCCTCGTTTTTTTATATATTTATCGTGAACTTTGATTGAGTACATCTTTTTTTGCACAGTTTTGCACACTAAGTCTGTGCATTGAGGGTAAAAAGGGACTTATTTAAAGTATATGGACGTAGGTTTTGTTTGCATTCGTTTGCCTTCCCATTCGAAAATTGCAATTTACGTGACCATCTTTTTAAGTAGATTTCAGTACTACTGATAAGTATTCGATAATGCAGTTTAAATGTATTTACATAATTTTTATCCAAACCTTGGAGGACGTACAGTGGTCAAGAATTGTAAAAACCCATAAGCGCATGTGTTCAAAAGGCAAGTCGGTTAAAACATAAATTTTCATTCTTGTTACGTGTAAAGAATAACTTAGAGGAACTAGAAGTGAAGTGACACTTCTATAAGATAATTTCAAGATCAAAAAGTTACATGTGTTTAACACAAGTATGTCAGCAATCCTTCTGGTAAAACAGTAGAGCTTCCTACCGAGGTAGCGCACATGCTTGCTCACACAGAACCAGAAGATTCTGGCAGCTTGGAAGCCTTGTATTGTATTGACATACTGTCAAAATATTGTTTAACCAAACAAGTAATTTAACAATAGACACCAAAAATACTGTTAAGAATTTTGTTATGATTAATTTAGAAAAAAAAAAGAAAATCGGCCAAGAAATAAGGAATATAGAGCGTCTTAAGGTACATGCGCGCGTTTTTTGGAATCCGGACCACTGTGCGCCATACAGAAATTTTAAGCCGCTCAGCCGCTCGCCGCTTTGCCGCTCATTGCGTGTCCTCGGCCTAACGCGGCGCTAGCGCCGAGCAAATGGAATTTTCATTTTTAACAGGTCGTTACGTATTAAAGTTATATNCGCGGCGCTAGCGCCAAGCAAATGGAATTTTCATTTTTAACAGGTCGTTACGTATTAAAGTTATATGCAGAAGACGGAAAGAAAGAGAAAGGACAAAAAAGTGAACCAGGGAGCGAGAGGAAATTAGAAAACGTAAAAAATTACGCCCCATTGATTTGGGGATAGCGCGCGCTGACACTCGTTGTCAATGGAAAACGCAACGCTTAGCGCCCCAATTTTGGGACGCCAGCATGGCAAGCAGCGCAGCCAATCAAAGTGTCGAAACGATGAAGTGGGATTGTAATGAGCTTTAAAATGTAAAATTAAAAGTCACTAGTATTTTTAATGCAACCTTGCCAACAGCAGTGTTTTCTGCATACATTTGCATCCAGAACCCTCTTGGCTCCCTTCGTAGTATTTAATAGTCAAAGTGCTGTCTTCACTCAAGAATGGTAGAATACAAGATCGCGCCGATTGCAGCAGAATTCGTGAGAGTAATTTTGGCGTGACGTCACCGTAGACTTGACAACTGAGAGTGGCAAATAAAACTGCTCTCTAGTGATGTGCTGAATTGTCGGTACCCAATACTTAAAAAAGCTTTTGGTATCCAATACTTCCTTATCGATACCAGATACGTGTTGAAAAATATTTCATATCATACGTCAACAAAACCGACACCAATTCGAAAATTGTCGCTAACTGGTTGCAGAATCTGTCGCTAAATGGGTACAGAATCTGCCTACAAAAATGATATCGTCCGATTCAGCTGGAACAAAAATGCTTCAAACAAGTAAGAGTTTCTCTGTATTATGGCATCGAACCGACATATATACATCTTTTATTTGAATCAGTATTAAAAGCTCTATTGGCTCCTACATTCGGGTTTTGATAGGCGAGTCTCCCCTGAACCGTTTTTTCCATATTTTGGGCCATGTGCGCTTTTTTTCGAAACCTAAATGTTTCGGTATCGAGTATCGAGAGTATTGGATACTTAAAAGTATTGACTCAGCACATCTGCACATCTGTTATCTTCGCAGCGTCATCCAATACGGATTTTTAATCTAGTGGCGGCATCTTTCTAGTCGCCAGGGAATACCGACGGATCATACAGTGCCTTCTCGTAACGTTTTTTGCCTTTTGCTTCATCCTACTCATTGCTCCTTTTCACTTGCTCCATTTCAAACCAGTTTTCTGTACAAATTTGCTGATGGCTTTAAAAATTTCTTCTTCGATTTGCATTGCNCTTGACAACTGAGAGTGGCAAATAAAACTGCTCTCTAGTGATGTGCTGAATTGTCGGTACCCAATACTTAAAAAAGCTTTTGGTATCCAATACTTCCTTATCGATACCAGATACGTGTTGAAAAATATTTCATATCATACGTCAACAAAACCGACACCAATTCGAAAATTGTCGCTAACTGGTTGCAGAATCTGTCGCTAAATGGGTACAGAATCTGCCTACAAAAATGATATCGTCCGATTCAGCTGGAACAAAAATGCTTCAAACAAGTAAGAGTTTCTCTGTATTATGGCATCGAACCGACATATATACATCTTTTATTTGAATCAGTATTAAAAGCTCTATTGGCTCCTACATTCGGGTTTTGATAGGCGAGTCTCCCCTGAACCGTTTTTTCCATATTTTGGGCCATGTGCGCTTTTTTTCGAAACCTAAATGTTTCGGTATCGAGTATCGAGAGTATTGGATACTTAAAAGTATTGACTCAGCACATCTGCACATCTGTTATCTTCGCAGCGTCATCCAATACGGATTTTTAATCTAGTGGCGGCATCTTTCTAGTCGCCAGGGAATACCGACGGATCATACAGTGCCTTCTCGTAACGTTTTTTGCCTTTTGCTTCATCCTACTCATGGCTCCTTTCGTTTTTCCAACCACTGCAATTATCCAAACACTTGCTCCATTTCAAACCAGTTTTCTGTACAAATTTGCTGATGGCTTTAAAAATTTCTTCTTCGATTTGCATTGCGAATGGGTACCTCACTAACACTGGAGGAACATTAAGTCCCACCACGTCGGTACTTTCGTCAAGTTGCAAACTAAAAAATTCACAAATTTTCTAACTTTTTATAAGTTCGTTTTCGACTTCCTCTAAAATCGTGTTGATTCGCTCTTTCGCTCTTGTTACGAGAACAGCCTAGCCAGAAAAAAATCCGAAAATTAATCCGAAAACGAGAAAAAATTTGGATGAAACGCGGATTAAATAGGTCTACAAAAGTACCGAAAATTGTTGTGAAAACGGTACGTTTTCGTCTATTTTTCTGATATTTTTCTGATTCAATTTTTCGTTAACAAAACTTACTGGGGAACTAAGCTTAAGAGCGAAATACAAGCGGCTTGACAAACCAAGCGAAACATTCCTTTGATGCAAGCCATTTGTGTTTTGTATGTGGTTTGACGAGCCGCTGTAGGAAATTTTAATAAAAATAAAATTTTTTTGATTTTTTGGCCGCCATGTTGAAGTTTGAACTAACCGCTTGCGTTGTGTATGGAAAGTTTAAAGAATTTTCCCGCACCACTAGTATACTCTAGCCATTAGTGGCACCCTAGGTATACGGCACCCACTTTGGGAAAGCCTGGTCTAGCATATGACATAACCAGAACCACATAAATCCACAATTG